AAAACAAGTTCCGTTTCCTTTTATTTTCACAAAACCAACTCCGTTCCTTTTATTGTCGCAAAACCAAACCCGTGGATAATACAGCCATAACTCATATTAGTCCATTATCTTCATTTCAAACCCATTCCACAACCATGGTTAATCCCTTAGGCATTAACACCTTCACCCAACTCACAATAATAATAGAGATTTCCAACATAGGTTAACTACCATCCATTTTAATTTACAAATCAAAATATAATTTAGGGCTTTTTCTTCTATCAACTACAACATGCTAATTTGCACTCCAATTAGCCCAAAACAACCATCAATGATAACATAATCATTTTTCAAACACCCAACCCTAGGTTCCTTCTCATGATTTCAAACAAATCCAACATGGATATGATTTTCATGCAATACAAAATTACCACATGTCTATCTATAGACGAAGTATTGAAAAAGAATAAGGAAATCCCTACCTCAAATGTAGAACCCAAGGAGAAGAAGAGCTAAACTCGGAAGTGCTCCAAACACCAAATTTCTCGGATCAAAATGTAGCCCTCAATGATCAACACACTTCTTACAAAGGCTCAAGGTGAGGAAAACACTCATACTAGATCAAACCCTAGAGAGAAGTTAGGTTTTAGAGTGAGGAGCTCTCAAAAATCGGTTTTGGGAAAGTAAGAGAGAGAAAAGAAATGTAAAAAGTGATTTAAAATAGCCTAGCTGCCAACTGATATACGACTCTCCCGCTTAAGCGGAGAACACAACGCTCGAGTGTCAAGGACAAAAAACTAGGTACGCTCGAGCGCAAGAAGGCCCGCTCGCCTTGGCTTGAGCGACAGAATTTGCGCTCGAGCGACCACCGTTTTGTTTTCAGACTTGGCTCAAGCGACCAAGATCTTTGCTCGAGCGTAAAATGAAAGCTCTCAGAAGTTTTACAGACCTAGGGGTTTGCTTGAGCGATGGAAGTTGCGCTCAAGCGAATTGCCCTATTTTTGAAAATTTAACTAAGTGTTCCAAAGTACATTTTGACATCCTCATTACATCTTAGGCATTCCTAAGCCTTAATTAAGACATAATAATGAGGATAAGGATTAGAAACACACCAAGATAGAAAAGAAATGAGTTAAGTGTTTTCTGAGCGTGTGTGTCAATGTGTACTCACTATGTGTTTGTGTAGGTCACGTGCCATAGACTGTTTGATCCGTCTATTCTGATTGTCCTATTATTGGAGCTATCTGTGAGTAATAGCTCTTTAAAGCTATGCTTGATGTTAATTATTTATGAGGATATGAAATGATCTGTTTTTTGAAATGCTATTTTCTGTATGGATGAATGATTGTTTAGATTTCTGAAATGTATTCGTGGCATCTTTAGCATTATGTGATATCTGTAATCTACTTTGTAAACGTCTCATGTAATCATAAGTCAACTGTATGTCCCATGTGATCATGGGTCAACTGTTATGGATCCTTATGAACGTCTCTGTGTACATGAGTCAATAGTTTACGTCCTATATAAACGGGTCAACTGTTATGTTAGCGCTAATGGATGTACCACGTATGATTATCTGTGAACTCTGAATATACATATGATTATGAATATGTTTCTGATCTAAACTCTAATTTCTGAATTTGTGATGGATATCATTCATTAAAACCTTTACTTTGTTATTATTCACTAGGTTCCAGCTCACTGTATTATTTATGTGTGTAGGTGATCAGATGCGTGACTAGGCTCAGTGATGATTGTCTGGAGATCTGTTCTGTCAGCCAACCATTGTGCCTCCCAAGGAGGTTCCTATTTTGAGAAGTGATCAAGTTTTGTGATCCATGTTTAAGACTTTTGTTTTCTTTTGTTTTGTTTGAACAAGTTTCTATTCTGTCTGTGTATTGGGCTAAGACCCATTTTGGTTTATCTGTCTATGAATTAACGTCTTATATGTAAATATAAGTTTGAAATTTTCTATCTTATGTATGTCTACACAATTCTATGGACATTATATTTTGATATTGCTTCCGCTAGCCCCTTAATTTTACTGATTTGTTTAGAAGCCTTCAGTAATTCCAAGATTACTGGTCGGTTACGATACTAAACCTATAAGGGTGGGTTTGGGTCGTAACAATAGTATAGACCACAAAATATCATGTTTGTTTGCAAAGTGGAGCTTGGGATTGTTAGTTCGTTTAGACTATCATGGGCCTTTGAGGAGGGGATTAGTAGAAGCCTCCAATGATTGAGTTTCAAAACCGATGAGTTGATTTTTTTAATCACTAACAAATTTCCTCATTAGCAATCTCCACACTAACAATATCACCCAACCTAACTCTAAAAATAAACGGGTCCTATGGGATAACTCAATCCCATGAGAGTTGTAGGACAAAAATGGGTGGGCTGAGTCAAATTTTGAATTAGCTAGTTAAATGATAAAATTGACATAAGTATATAACATTTCTTTCTTTTATTTTTTACATATTTATTTTTTAAACTTGTTGATTTTTTTTTTTAAACATGTGTAAATTAATCTCGTAATACATAACATAACAATTTTATTATTTTTATTTTTTTCCTATTAGCAAAATAATAAAACGAAATTTGCTTCTAATGTTAAAAGGAAATAATATATAACTTTTTTTTTTTAAACATGCTAGATTTTTTTTTTTTTTAAAACATGTGTAAATTAATCAGATGATACATATAGTCTTCTCTTACATTTTTTTATTTATTAGCAAATTCATAAATGAAAATATAGGTCGTAGTTAAATAAAATTAAAAATGATCTTAGTAAAATAAATAAAATATACTTCAAATTTAGCATTGTCATTATAAATAATTCAAGGGGGAATTACTACCTAGTATGGTAGAGAAAAAAATTTACAAAAACATGGAAGAGTGCAAGTGAGGCTTGCACCTTCACAAATTTTCACTTACACCCCACCGTAGAATTACTTGCAACCTACATGTGTTATAATTTTTTTTTTCCACTCTTCATTGGATAATTATTCTCCCAAAATTCAAAATGATAAAATGGTCTTTTGAGAAGTTATCATTTTTCATAATTTTCTAAGGCTTAGTTTGGTTAGGATGAAAATGATAAAAATTGAAAGGAAAATGAAAACAAATAATATTTTTTTTAAAGTTTATTTAGCATGAAAATGATGGAAGTTAAAAGAAAGTTAATTTTCTTATATAACTCATATTAGCATGGTAACTAAATTTAATTTTCTAACTAACTATAAAAATAGTTAGTTAGAATTAGAATTCCTATTTTCTTGAAATTTTTTTATCCTATCAAATTCATATTAGAAAATATATTTCATTTTAATTTTTTTTTTCCACTCTCTATCATTTTCACTTTCTATCATTTAGTATTATTTTTTTTTTCTAATCAAACGAAACCTAACTAAACATAAAATTCACTAGAATAGTCATTTCTAAACATTTAATCCTATGACAAAACAAATATGAGATATATCATTTCTAGTCGAATAATCTAGAGACTATTTATTGCAAGGGTTATTTGGGATGATATAAGTAAGTGTACTTTTTGACTTTGTATGAAAAGATATGCAAAAGATAATGAAATGATGTGATCCAAAAAAGATAAAAAGATAAAAAGTGTGTTGTTTTAGGGAATGCCAAATAATCCCTACTAATTGATTGTATTGAAATTCTCCTTATCTAATCTAACTAAACAAACATGATCTTATATCCTATTCAGTCAATCAAACATAGCCTAAAAACTAGAGAAAATTTCAAAATAAGTATAAATTTTAAAAAATAATTATAAAAAAAGTAATAAATTTTATAAATATTAATAATTAAACTCATAATTTTGTAATAAACTTTTAGAAATATATCACGGGGGTAATTTTCCCTAAAAACTAAGGTAACGTTTGGTTTGGAACTCAAATCATGATTTGAATAATAAAAAAAATTCAAAACTCTTTTCAAATCTCATAACCAAATAAAATCTTCAAAATTCAATTCAAAAACTCTTTTCAAAACTCATAACTAAACTCTTTTCACCACTCTATTTAAAAGAAAAAATCAAAAACTATATTTTTTTATTTTGTTCTTTAAAATTATTTTTTATTTTTTTTGAAATATAGTATTTTTATTTTTATTTTTGAAGAAAAAATAATATTTTTTTTGAATTTTTTTTTTTTGCTATTTTTTGAAGTATTGGCCTAATAATTTGTTAGGGTTTAGATATATGAGATAGTTTAATATTCCTATCCAACTTTTAGTAATAGGAAATGTCTACAATATATATATTTTTTTTGTAACCTAAGGCCATGTTTGATTTCACAAGACTAATAGTGAAGTATTAATAATCCTATTAAATTAGTGTGATATTAATTATCCAATTGGATTAGTAGGATAAATTATCCTCTTATCCATTGTTTGATTTGCATGGGATAAGAAACTTATGAATGTAGGATTACAACTATATTTATTTTCTTTTCCAATCTTACCCTCCATCAATGTTTCTTCATAATTTTTACTTTATCAAAATTTCTTCATAAATGTGATTTTGAAAAAAATTATAAATAAATAAATAAAAGCAAAATTAAAATACAAAATACAAAGGCCATGTTTGGTTTGTTTTTTAATTTTTTTTTAAAAAATATATAAACTAATTTGATAAAATAAATATAAAAAAATATTTTAAAATTTATAAAAATTATTTTTGGCCTTCTAAAATATAAAATTATATAGATTTAATAATAAGTGTTTTAATTTTTTTTTAAAATTTCTTTCACCAAATTAATTTTAAAACAAGTTCATAAAAACCAAACCAAACATGACCACCACCAACCCACCCACCCACACAAAATGGTAATTAAACACATGCAAACATGGCCTAAAAGTACACATGCAAAATTATGTTTGAACATAGATTTGTCTAAACACAGATTATGTTTGATTCACCCATCAAGACCACACGTAACAAATTATGTTTTTTGTTTTTTTGATCCACCAATTCAATATTAAACTAAGAAAAGCAATGTTCACAATAGTTTGTAGAACAGTGACTTCAGAAGTTCAGCATTGACACTCCTCCTAGCTTGGGATAAGTCATGTTGATATCCAATCCTTTTAACAATCTCACCCAATCTAGTGTCCGTTTTGTCCAAAAAAGAGCCAAGTGTCTCTGTCATTGTAGCAATATTACTTGCGATTCCTTCAGTAGTCCTGGCTCTTTTTGTTCCTCCCTTGCTAAAGGTAGAAGAGTTGGATGCATTTCCATTTGTAGACATTGAACACTCGAAGTCAGCAACATTGAATTGCTTAGCTAGAGAACCATCACCCTTCTCCCCCATGGCTTCCTCCACAGCAATTGCTTCAACTGCATCTGTAGGATCTTCAGCTAACTCACCAGTGGCTCTGTCTTTGCCAAAGAGAACAAGCCAATCTTCATAATATGGAAATGACTTGTTTCGCATAGAACTCGCACTTGGTTGTCTCTACACAAGTTCAAAAGAAAGAAAGGACATTCAAGTATGCTAAATGAGATAAAATTGAAATGAAGATGAATAGGATATCTAGTAATTATGATGAGATGAACACTAAAAAATAGAAGAAAAAAACTTACCCGAACAAAGTTTTCCCAAGCATCATCACTGTCAACAAGAACCATCTTCTCAGTGTCATTCCATCCAAACCCGCTAAGCTTAGTCATTTCATACAAAAGGCCATAGTGTTTTCTCTAAATTTTTATCTTTGACTCAACGTGAGGACAAACACGAAGGTCACTTCCAGGAAAAGCCTTGACAATTCTCTTCTCAAGCTCGCCATAAAACCCCGACTTAAATTGCCCATTGTCAACCTTCCATTTAGGATTATTACACAAATCTCTTATTGCACTTATGAGAAACAACTCCTCCCTCTTCGTCCAAATCCTACGACTCCCAATTGAACCAGCATCTGCCTTTCCCTTACTTTTCTTTCGAGAATGACTGGTAGCAACACTATCCATGCCTATAATAATGATGTACAACACATATTATTGATTTAATAGCTCATTCTAATATACAAAATACAAGTATGGAAGACAAGGTAAAAATATGATTAAAAAGTGTGCATGAACTATATATATATATATATAAAAGCACTCTTGATATTAAACAACTACTCAATCTACCTAAAATATAGATATTATTATGCAATCATGAAAGCAACAAATGGTTCTCCATGAAATAAAGATTAAAACAAATAAAATTGATTAGCTTGAAAAATAAATCCATCTCAACTACGTAAGATTCTCATTACATATTTTTCAATTATGAAAATAGACAAGATTCTCATCATTACAAATAAAATATTTAAATAAATTATCTCAACTACGGAGGATTTCCACCAACTCCTCTATTTGCTTGCCATTCATTAAACATTATGTTTGCCAATGTATCCCTCCAATCACTCCATTGATTTGATGGCTCTACTGTATTGCTGAACTCTTCTCCTAAATCAGGTTGAGGTATAGGAGTGTTATTTAACTCGAACTCAAATGGATCCACTGGCATTTCACGTCTGATGAGGTTGTGGAGAAGGCAACATGCGGTAATAATACGACCCTGGGTCTTGATTGGGTAGTACGAAGCAGTTCTCAGTATTGCCCACCTAATCTTGAGTAACCCAAAACACCTCTCAATAACGTTACGAGCAGCAGAGTGCTTCATGTTGAAGAACTCCTCAGGATTCACTGGGATACCCCCTTCTCTCCATGTAGAGAGGTGATAGCGTTGCCCTCTAAATGGCGCCAAGAAACCCTCTCCATTAGTGTAACCCGCATCTACAAGATAGTAGAAACCTGAAAACAAGTATGGGTTTCATATGTATAAGTACTTTAAAAAGTGGGCAATTAAGATTAGATCAATTAACTATATAGATTCATACCCATCGGCACCTTCAAACCATTTGGTCTATTCACAGCATCTCTAAGTACCCTAGAATCTGAAGCTGACCTTTCCCATCCAGGCAACACATAAATGAATTGCATGTCTTGGGAACAAACACCCAAGACATTAGTAGCAATTTCACCCTTCTGTGTTCTATATCTTGGCTTATCTATTGCAGGAACAAGAACCCTAACATAAGTTTCATCTAGAGCTCCAAGACAATTCTACCAAAGATCAAAATAAAATAAGGTTATTCATTTTAAATATGTTAGTGTTTGCCCAAAATCTAAATGAAATTAAACTATGTAATACCTGAAAACACCTCCATCTATCATCTGTGCAATTTGCAGTTATTGGCTCTGGTGTCTTAAGTAAGACACCTTGTAGGCGTAAAATAGCCTTCAGGACATCGTTAAAGTACTGACTAACTGTTTGCCCAGACTGCATGAAATTGAACTTGATGTTGCGATTCTTATAGTCGTGTGCAATCACATTTAAGAACATTGCAACTTTCTCCTCTAAGAGGACATATTTGGAATCAGATAATCCCACACTTCGAACAAGTGTACAAAGACACATGAAGGTATGCCTATTCACTCGGAGTTGTTCATGACAATCAATATCGCTATCCTTCACCAATCTATTCAAATAGTCTAATTGTGCTTGGAAGGGATGTGGTGACCTTTTAATATCCAACATAGATTGGTACCTCTCCAAGGCAACTTGTAGTACAATAATGTACACACCACATGCATAGTTAATAGATGACACAACTTCTTGGAGTGCTACAAATGCTTCAAATAGGTCCATCGTACTGTCCGAGCATTCATTATTGTCTATCTACAAATGCTTCAACTAACACATCAGATCTAGTTAGTGTAAGAGATTAGAACTACATGTATTTCTGATGGGTACTGAAAGAGCTCCCCAAAGATTGCATTAATTCAAATCTAAACACATTCAATATGATTACAATTTTTTTCTTATGCAAAGATTTTTTTTGAATTTAAAATAGCAAGAGAGAAACATATCATATATTTAAAAATTATAATGAGCAGTCAAATTTGCAGAAATTTAATAAGGACTGTGAAAGAAAAATTCATAAGGTCATTATAAGGTTAATAAATACAAATACAGTTCTACTAGATATACTGAACAAATGTAGGTTATGCTGAAGAATAGAGGGGTGTACAAATGAACTGATTTATATATATATACTCTACATTACATGGTGCTATTAACATTATTAATGGGAATGGCTGCTTTTGCTCAAGAAAATTAAAGAGGCCTTTATTTTTAAAATAAGGAAGTGGAAGGACCATATCAGCAAAATTAATTAAAATTTTGACAATTAAGGATTCACTAATAAATGTGTAGTTAATTGTACCCACCTGTTACCTATTGCTACTGGTTAACTTTGACTCACCATTAACTGGGTATTATTAAGGACACCCCCAATCCCCATCCTCATCCATACATGAAAATTGAATGAGTCCATATAATTTTGTCCATGGGACTTGAATGAGTACTTTTTTTTTATTTTTTTTTATAAATGTTTCAAAAACAAATTATAATTTCTGTTCTGTGAACGGTCCTAGCTGGGGCTGCTTTTATTGTTTTCTTGATTGTTCAAAACAATGGATAGAATAGGACAAATTTTCATTGAAATGTCATACAAGCAGACCAAACACAGCTCTTCTAAGCCCAAGAAAATGTAGTTCCAGCTCTTCTAAGTGTGAGAATGAAGGTTCAAAATTGAGAGCAGCCACTTTATAAAAATAATGCCGAAGGTTAGGCCTATCTGATTGTCCAGTCTTCTCCTAGGACCCTCAATTAAAAGGGACCCTCAATTATATGTTGTATGTTCCACCAAATATACTTTCAGATTTTCTTGTTTGTTTCTTCTATAAGAATATAATTTTCTTCTTTGAAATTTCAGCCATTGTATCTGCAGATAATTTCTTTTCTTCAGCAAAAAATGCAGATTCTCATGTTGCAGATAGAATACCCTCCGTACCAGAAAATGTTAAAATGTTACTAATTAGGTTTATATTTTTCTCAATGTTAAAAGATACATTTAAAAACCCAAATATTTCTACTACTATTCAGATTCAATGTTTAGTACATGTCAACTCTCAATCAAAAGTGAATTTGGTTATGCTGGTTTTGTGAATCATCAAGTTCTTGAATACATTTATCCTAAATGATAACATTTTCCAAGTGAATTTTATCTTAATCGACAATGATTTGAAATGTAACTTTGTTTAACAGATTAAGTTATGGGAATCGGATATGAAAGGTTGGGATGATATCAGCTCATCTTTATGATGAGTTCTGGGGCAAAAATCAAACTCATCTCACTATGCATTCACTATGTACACTTGAAGAAATCATTTTATGTGTGTAATTTACAAGAAGGGAATTGAACACTTGAAGAAAGTTTCTGAGGTGCTCATGACTTTGCACGATGATATGGAGGTTTGTTATGGGAAGACTCAACAAAGAGTACTTATATGCACATGTGAGAATTGAACACTTGAAAAAATATACATTTTCTTGGGCCCTTAAACTATTTGGGACAACACGCGCTAATAGATTTCATTTTTGTCACCTCCACAAATACACTCCACGATCAAATAGAAAGAGATTCTCAATTGGCTAGTTTAGTACTTTGCTCTGTTCTGACATCGAAATTCCCCCAAAAAATCTGAATTTTAAAGGGAAAATTGATTTTCTTAAAGAAACAGTGAACATCCTTACATTTAAAAACTCAAAGACAAATCAATCACAATAAAAGGATTTCATAGTTTCAATAGAAAAAAATGACAGAAATGTAAATATTATATGTTCTGGGAAGCAGATCCATTTGAACATTTTTACTTGCTACAAGAAGAAGATTCACAAATATCCACCTTAACAATGATCCACTTACTCCTTTTTTTTCCTCACCAGTAAGCATTTAATGGATCACAACAATTTTCATAAGCATGTTCCAATTGTTTATGATAAGTTCTCACTTGAACATAGAATCAAACACATGGTGGGCAGAATTTTAACAATAGAATCAAACACAGATCTAGTATATAATATACCAAAACCATCAAAACATTGTTACAACTACATAGATCTATGTATATATACAAATACATCTCACAAATTCTGACAATGATGATTTATCATAAATTTTGAACCAAACATGTAAAATTAATTGTTGAAATAGATAAAAATCTGGAAAAATAAATGGCGAAGATGGTAATCTCACCGGTAATGAGAGTTTTTCAATGCCGACGGTGAATTTTCCAGCGAACGAAGGTTGAAATCGGCACACCGAGATGGAGATCTTCACGAAGGTGGAGATCCTTCACGAAGGTGGAGATCTTCTCTCAGCAAAGCTGCTGAGTCTTTGCTGGGTAGAAATGATATGATTTGGCTTACATTTCTGCGTATATAGCGAGGGTAAAAAAGTCTTTTTACTTTATTTCCCAATTCAGGATATATAATCCCACCCCTACCCCATTACTAATAATTCTACAAATTTGTTGGATTAATTATCCATTAGATTAATAATCCTAAACCAAAATGTTAAAACAAACATAGGATAGTTGGGCCCACGGATTAATAATCTCAATCTCATGCTCTAATCCATCCAATCAAACATGCCCTAAAGTCTCTCACCCACACCCATATATCACACACTTTCTCATTCTCCCTCCTTTCAATAATATGTGGCAATCTTGAAATCATGAGCTTCAAATTTAACTTCATCATCAAGATCTGGAATTTTCTCATATGAAGTCAATTGAAATCAAAGGCATTTGTGTCTAGAATCTCCAGATTTTGAGTTTCAATTAGGTCTAGGGTTTTACAAACTTTTCTACCATGGATTTGATTTGAGTTTTCATATTGTATTTATCAAATTCATTGCAACGTTGAAACAATTTCTCAGTAAACTACCTCGAAAGTCATCAAAACCCAACACCATTGAATTGCCAAGGAGGGGTACGAGCAATAGTCCGTCTTGCCATGGTGGTCGTTTACAACATACCACATTCTACTCGATCGAACGCCGCTAAACAAATCTCACTGGCGGTGTTCTCGTCGAGTGTTGTCTGGAATCAAGCATTCAGAGATGTTCTCAGTTTAGAAAGATTGAATCTTTTTATCAGTAAGTTGAGTTTATGCAATATGTGTTGTGTAGTTTAATTTTCTGTAGTTTGGTCGAAACACAAAGAAAAGTATGAGCAAATCAGAGAAAATTGATCAAAATAAAGAGCAATTTGTGAGTAAACTAGAAAAATTTCAACCTAGAAAAATTTCAAAATATAAAGAAAATTAAAGAAATTGAGCAAACCAGATAAATTTCTTTGGATCCAAATTTCTTTGCATCGAAATTTCCCTAAAAACATATTGAGGGACCCCAATCACTATGAAAATATTGCATGTTGTTTATCCTATAAAATCTTAATACAAGTGACCTTAAAAAAAAAATTCCCCTAGATATATATGGGCAATCCAAATTTTTTTAAAATTTTTAAAAAAATTTAGAAAATTAAATATTTTAAAATAAAAAAAAATATTCAAATTTTTTTTAAAAGAATATTAAAATATTATATATTTAAAATAATTTTTTTTTTCAAATTTTAAATATTTAAAATATTTTTTTAAAAAATACAGCGCACAAATGTAGTAAGGGGTATTTGAGATGATTTAAATAGGTATATTTTTTGACTTTTTAGAAAAAGGTGTACAGAAAAATAAAAAGGTGATGTGATCCAACTAAGTGCACTTATCTAAATAAGTACATTTATATAGTGCATGCCAAATAGCCTCTAAATACAGAGCACATTTAATATATATATATATATATATATACAATAAAAAATATTTATCCTAAAATAATAAAATTAAGAATTTTTTTAAATATTTTTTTAAAAAATAAACCCAAAAAATTTCAAAATACAAGTTAAAACTTATTTCAAAAATTCAAAACTCAAAATACAACTTCAAATTCTTTTCAAAACTAAAACTCTTTATAAATTTCATAACCAAACAAGTTTAATCTTTTCAAAACTCATTTCAAAAACTCAAAATAAAAACTTAAATTCAAATCATAATTAAAAACTAATCCAAAGGAAACCTAAAGTTTAGATATAAGATTTGACATAGGTATTTGTGTGAGTGAATTTCTGACCACGCTGCCAACTCAGTATTCAATTGGAGAGCACTGACAGAATAGATGGCACCTGAGTGACCTGCAACAGAAAGAAAAGATTCCGGCGGTGGTTAGTCCACCCGGGGGCACTCCGATGATCAAGTCAGTTATCTCCCAAAGATAGATAAAGTGCTTAATTCACTGTCCAGAATATAAATTGCGTACCTTAGACTCATGGGGGTGCCTCTCTTTTATAGTTAACCCAATCTTCGTCCCAATAGAAGCCTAGCTTCAATGGACTTTACCTCAGTGCTTATCTTGGACTCTTCAATAGATAAAGATAAACTCTCTAAGAGCTTTATCCTTATCTAGGCTGAGGTCCTTCCTCATTCTAGGACTCTTGTCCCTTATCTGCTTATTTCGGATTCCGATATCTTCGGAGATAACCTCGGCCTAGCTGAGATAACCTCAGCGTCATAACCAGGACATGTGGCACCCCGGCTGATACGTCGGCGTCACCTTGGCCACGTGTTGGTATTTAGAAAATATATCCCCACAACTGCCCCCTAGGTTCTATTACCTCGGCATCTTGAGGTGATGGAACCTATATCGTTATATCGTATAGCATGTCGGCTATCTTGATGTATCATCCATTTACCGAGGTCATAATACGTCGATTTCACACGACCAGGTCCAGCCGAGGTCACTTGCTTTATTAAACCAAGAACTCCAAGAGTTTTATCACGCGTATGAGCTGTCACGCAAAATAAATCAACCGTCTCTGCCACGCGTCTTTCCCTTACTAGATCGTACTCGATACGCGCCTGTAAGTCGAATTTTTCTCGTGTGCGCCGCCTGACGCATACGTCGTTTTAGGCACATTAATTTCCTTTTTGCCGCCATTTTTGTGCTTTAGACAAAACGTCCTTCCTCTCTTTGTCTTTTCACTTTTGCATCCTTCGTTCTCAAGCTCCCAACTCTTTCTCTCTCTAAACTTTTTCTCCCAAATCTGCCATTGTCGATCTCGCGAAGCTTTCTGCAACCAGCCTCATTCTCTCCTCCGGCGGGGCTTCTGCTGCACTTCCTTGCTTCCGGCTACCGTCTGATCCCGATGAACTTTACTTCGGCTTCATTTTTCCTGTAAGCCATTATTCTTCCTGGTTTTCAATTCTTGATTTCACTACATGTTCGAGTATGTTTGCTTTGTGATTCTGTTTTTGCCCAATCCGTGTCTTGAATACACGCACACACTGTTCACAAATTTGTTCTCTTTTGCCACTGTTCTTGGCCTCGCATCCTTGTGCACACTTTGTCACAGTGTTCTTTGATAGTTCATCACTGTTCTTGATTCTGAAACACGTCCTTGTTTTCTGTTTTCTGTGTCTTTTCCAGTTTGTGCCTTCAATCTTCATTTCCATAGATCTAGGTTTGGGACTTGCTTATAAAACCCACAAGTTTTAGGAAAAACTGAAACACATTCCCCTTAAGATCCCCACAAATTCTTACACCAGCTTACATTTTGGATTTGCCGAGGTCCTATAACCTTCAAAGAGCACTTCTTTTTCAAACCCCATACCTTCTCTCTAAGCCGGCGTCATGGGAATGTGGAGGCATATGGTAGATATCCTAACTAAATTAGAGTACTTCAGGCAAGAGTTTGAAATCCTGGCCGATGTTCACTTGAGATTGGCTGGAGAGGACGACTCCATCATGCATGATGGAAACCTTATGCCCTTTCCCGTTGTCGCCTTTACAGAATGTGAACTTAGGTTTCCACTAGACACCCTTTTTCAAGAAGTCCTCCACTACTACAAACTCAACCCGATGCGATTGACTATTAACTCCTACTGAGTTATCAATGGTATTATTGCCTTAGCCAGAAAAGAGAATGCTAGGGTTACCCTTGTCGACGTCCAGTACTGCTACACCATGTGTGGCCTGAAACTAGAAAAAGGCTATGTCTATTACCTTAAGCCGAGGTCCACAGAATATAAGCTTGTAACCGACCTCCCAGACTCTAACAAGGGAGCCGGGGACGATTACTTCATTGTCTTGGGCAACTGAGAGTTCGCTCCAGATGAGGGCCTTCACCTCTACCCTCTTAGCCGAACAGTTTTTGTAGAGGGTAATGGCAAGAACCAAGCGTTACACTTACTTGCTTTTTCAAGTTTCCGGTACTTTGTTCTTTCTATATGTTCTAACCCCAGTTTTCTCTTACAGCTCTTCCACATCCACCAAAGGGCTTTCGCAAGTCCTTCTTCCCCAGCAAGGATCTTAAGAGGTTGCTGGACCTGCCAGTCCATAAGCGGAGAGCTCCTTTACTGCTGAACTTCATCCCGACCTACAAGTCGATACTTCCCGACGTCCCAAGGAAGCAGAAAATCAAGTCTCCTCCTTCCGCCACAACTCCATTAACAACTTCATCATCTCAACCAGATCAGGGGTCGACCTCAGATCCAGTAGAACAACCATCTACCTCGGCTCCACAGCTGATCCCGCCATCCCAAAGCCGACGACGACTCCGAACTGTAATTCCTGCCGAGATAGGTCGCAAGAAAGCAGTCGCTGAAGACCTCTTGGCCGACATCCCATCCTCTGTCGACGCTAAACCAGCACTAACTCAGCCTCTAAAGTTGAAACAAAAAAGGCTGAAGAAGGCTCAGCCAAAGGCAACGGTGACTCAGGTTAATACTGAGGACACCTTGCCAATTTCCAAACTGGCTTCGAGCGAGAAAACCCCCTCTGTCCCCGAGAAGAGGCCCGTTGAGGCCGAACCCTTCCAATCAACTCGGTCAAAGAGGTCGATGTCCGAATCTGCCACGACCTCAGGGCCCGTGAAAGCAGATGTCCCCTAGGCCCCCTAAATCACCATCAAGGACAAGCCGGCTAGAGCTAGCGACAGTGCGACTGATCTTGAAGTCGGTGTCGCCTTCTCAACGGCTTTGCTCCTTCCAAACGATCTTAACCGCAACGCCGAAATGAGTGAGTATGAAAACTTCGCTCTGATGCTCCAACACTCTGTTCAAGTAAGTTTTCCACAGTTGGTACTTTTCTTTCTCTATTATTTCAAACTCAGAGGATTTTTACTAACTTTTGTTCTGCTGATTCTCTTTCAGGCGATCCAGCACGGCTACTCCTTCTCAATGCAAGCTTTTGAGGTGAGGAAGGAGTTGGCCAACAAAATCAGGGAGGCCGCCACTCTACAAAAGTCCCTCAACAGGGCCAAGGACAAGATGAAGACCTTAGCAGATCAAGCCGAGGCAGCTGCAAAAGCTCAAGACGCGGCTGAGGAGAAAGCTAACGTTACAGAGGCCATTGCCAAGGTCCTCACAGCTGAAAAGAAAGAGGCTGAGACAAAGATGGCCAAGGCCCAAAAAGAACTCCAAGATGTCCTAGCCACAAAGGAGGCCGAGATCAAGGCTGCCGATGAAAGGGCATACGCAAAGGGGGCGGTCGACGTCAGGGAGGATTATAAAAAACAAGTGAGGCAGGTATGCAACAAGGGTTTCACCCTCGGTTGGATGGCTGCTCTAAAAAAACTTAACGTCCCCGAGGACTCCCCTCTCAAGAAAGCCGATGTCCTACCCCTGCCATTCCCACCTACTCCAAGCCAATCCGAAGACGATTCTGAGTCTGAAGAGGAAGCTTTGGTAAGGAAGTCGAAGGAAGCTACTGGGGCCAAATCCCTTACTCAAAATGAGCAAGTCCTGGACTTGACTCAGGATGAGGAGGGTGAGGAGGGTGAGGAGGTCTCCAAGGATGCTACTCCTGAGAAGGCAACATCAGACGTGCCTATCGCTGGCAAGAGCCTCGACCAAACCCTTCAAGAAATAGATGCCGAGTTTGCGGCTGAAAAGGCCGCCGAGATGTCTTCCCAGCAGTCTTCTGAACTCCAGACCCAACTGCCTAAAGATGTTGAAGAGTTTTGATGCTTTTTTCCTTTTTTCTGTACTTTGTACTTTTTTTCCTTCTTTCTTTGAAACAATGTAAGCGCTTTCTTTGGCCGACATTCCATCTTTTGAATGTAAATACAACTTATTCTTTTAAATGCTTGTATGTTTGTCTTCCCTTTACTGCTCTTGTATGACTCTTATACTTAGAATATTTTGCATATCTTCAATGTATACTTTAACTGTGTAATCTTCTCGGGATGAAATACCTCGGTTATACCTACCAACGGTGTACATTGGC